CAATGCTAAAATGAAGGTGCTTGTACCAAAATGTGAGAATTTATTAAAATAAGACCCTGGGGTGGTCATGAATATTTTAAAGAATCTTGAACCCACAGGTTAAAAAATGCTTAAGTGTTTTTACAGACACCAATGTTTGCCTGCCATCCTAACCCCTCATACTCATGTGGCTTTTGACCATGAGACTAGTTTTTTCTCCTTTCTTTACTAAATATTGTCACATTAGCCCATTATTCCAGCCAGTTGAGATATTTTATTTTATTTTTAAAGATTTTGTTTATTTCTTGGACAGAGAGAGAGAGAGAGAGAGAGAGCACAAGCAGGGGGAGGGTCAGAGGGAGAGGGAGAAGCAGACTCCCTGCTGAGCAGGGGGACCGACATGGGACTCGATCCCAGGACTCTGAGGTCATGACCTGAGCCAAAGGCAGATGCTTCACTGACGGAGCCACCCAGGAACCCCCATTTGAGATATTTTATTTTTTTATTTTTTATTTTTATTTTAATATTTTTTTTTGCCATGAGATATTTTAAATTCTTGCCTTTATACATGTTAGGTATCTTCACAATCTTCATGTCTTCCGGAAATTTCATCCAATAAAACTGTTAAATAGGGTCCTGACTCCTGAGTGAGACAAGACCATAGCTAGACTGACATATTTATTAAGCCTCCATTATGTTTAATAGAAAGTTCCTTTTTCTTTAATATTTGGCATGCTATAAAATACTTTCTTATCCCTAAAGCAGAGAATAATTACTTCATTTTTCCTCACCAATATCTATATTTTGGATTTTAAAGTATACCTAGGGATATAAAAGGTTTACTTCAGTATTACAATAATGCAATGCTAGTCTCTTCTCTCTTTAGTAAGTAGGCCACAAAAATTTTCAGTAAGGTTGTGGATTATCCTTTTTCTGAAACTTAAAAATAGAACTAGTTCCTCATGGCTCAAAGGGATTGACCAATACTTTAAAAGCTCCCAAATGGGGGCACTTGGATGGCTCAGTCTGTTAGGCATCCAACTCTTGATTTCGGCTCAGGTCATGATCTCAGGATCATGGGATTGAGCCCCACATCAGGCTCTGTGCTCAGCAGGGGGTCTGCTTGAGGTTCTCTCTCTGCCCTTCCCCCCACTAAAATAAATACATAAATCTTTATTTAAAAAAATAAAAAAGCCCTCAAATAGATATTTGTGAATTTCTTGTCTCTGCTGAGTTAAAATGGATTTCAGTGAGGATAAAAATACTTAAATGAGCAAAATGCTGACTGATTTATATGGCCTACAAAGGAGATAGTTATGACAGGATCAATGAACATTTTCCTCACAAGGAATATATAGACTGTTATCCCTAAATAATAGAGTCATTATTGAAATGAATAATCCTTCAGTGGTCCAAATTAGATCCAGGCTCTCTAATGTATCATTTGGTGGATTTACAACATAGCAAGTGGTGGGTGATCCTTCCACCGGCTCCAACCTATAACACCTGTCGAGAGCACGGATTTGAGAAGCATAGTTAGGGATCTGCTGAAGTTGCCTTGGCTTAATGTAATGACGACAGGGGATGTGGAGTGGAATTAACAGATTCAGAATATGTTGGGAGGCAGACTTAAGAAGATTTGTTGATACGGGGGATCCCTGGGTGGCGCAGCGGTTTGGCGCCTGCCTTTGGCCCAGGGCACGATCCTGAGACCCGGGATCGAATTCCACATCAGGCTCCTTGCATGGAGCCTGCTTCTCCCTCTGCCTCTCTCTCTCTCTCTCTCTCTCTCTCTCTCTCTCTCTCTCTCTCTCATAAATAAATAAATTAAAAAAAAAAAGATTTGCTGATACGTTGATTGTAGGGGTGGGGAGAAAGGAGGAAGGAAGATTGATGCCCGGTTTTTGACCCTAACACAAAGATTTGCTGATACGTTGATTGTAGGGGTGGAGGATGGTGCTTTAAACTGAGCGAGTGGGCAGCCCGGGTGGCTCAGCGATTTAGCGCCGCCTTCAGTCCAGGTCGTGATCCCGGAGAGCTGGGATCGAGTCCTATGTTGGGCTCCCTGCACGGAGCCTGCTTCTCCCTCTGCCTGTGTCTCGCCTCTCCTTCTCTCTGTGTCTCTCATGAATAAATAAATAAATTATTTAAAAAATAAATAAATAAGATGAGCGAGAGAAGCCTTGGGGGGGGAGGGGCGGCGGTGAGAGAGGAGCAGGTGCAGACCAGGTCAAGGTATGGAAATGGCAGAGAACAGAGACAAGAATCAGAAGTTCTATTTCGCTCATTGGCAAAGGTAATGACACCAGGCGAATAAGGAAACTAACCTTTTTCAGGCTATTGCAATAGGGAGAGTATGCCAGATCCAAGATCAGAGTGCCTTAGCAGGATGGTTTAGCCTGGAAGTGTAGATAAGTTATTCATGGGGTGCTCTGAAAGTTTGGGGTACTTTAATAAATCAGGGGGAGTCTTAGCCAGTCATCTGAACGAAAATCATTTGTCTCTATGTCTGACTAGTTGCAGGAGGTGATAAACAGTTCAGCTAATCATTATGAGACAAAGAATAGGAATTTGAGGCCCTGTGTCCGGCCTTGTCACAGGTAAATGAGGGCATCATCTGTGAGTTTTATGAGAATCCTTAAAAAGAATGGACACTTTAAGGTATATGGAGAAGGGTGGTTCTTTGTAGGAAGCCACTTCTGGAGAACAAAATGTTGAGGGGATTAACCATCACTGTGTTCTGGGAGTATAGGGCTCAGGTAAAGTTCAACCTCTCAACGTGTCATACTTGAGATGTTTATGAGATCTGAAGATGACCAACAGGTGGTTGGGTATATGAATCAGGAATCCAAGAGTGAGATTCAAAGCTGGAAAGATGTATTTGAAAGTTCTCAGCATTATAGGTGATATTTAGCATGAGGAGACTTGATGAGATCACTAAAGGAGACGTGTGGAGAGAAGAGGGTCCAAGATGAAGCCCAGAAGAACTATAACCATCAAGGTGAAGTGGCAGGGAAGGGGCTAGCCATGCAGTAAGAAACAGACCAGACGATAGGAAACAAAAAGGAGAATTTGGTGTCATGGAGGCCAAGTGAAGAGAGTGCTTCAGGACCGGGAAGTGGAGAGCGGCACTGAAAGGTGCCGAGCAGTAAGATCAGGGCAACGACCATTAGAATTGGCAAGAGAGTCAGAGGAGGGATTCTTTTCTTTCAAGGTGGAAAATGCTTATGAACTGATTTTTCTTTTTTTACGGGGATGGGAATGACATAGGAGAGTGGAAAAACAATTGATGATACAAGAGAGGTGGAAGTGTGCTGGGAGAAGGGAGCCCTTGAGGGAGGACCCAGAATACAGGAAGAAGCATTGGTCCTGAGTTGGCGTAGATGCCTGGCCAATATAGTTCAATCAGGGAAAAGAATTGCAAATGGAGGGATGGTAGTTTCAAGATTTGGTGGAGGAGAAAAGAAAGATGTCGTTTATGTTTGCAGTGAAGTATGGACGGAGGAGGTAGGGGAGTAAGAGGTTTGAAATGAAGTAGGTGTACGAGGGAATGGAATGGAAGAGTAAACCTACTGGAGACAAACATGCCAGGATTACTGGGTTGTGTTACGTGCTCATCTGAGGTCTAAGTCTGGGAGGTTTTTTTTTTTTTAAAGATTTTATTTATTTATTCATGAGAGACACACAGAGAGAGGTAGAGACATAGGCAGAGGGAGAAATAGGCTTCCCCTGAAGACCATGATATGAGACTTGGTCCCAGGACCCCGGGATCACCACCTGAGCCAAAGGCAGATGCTCGACCACTGAGCCACCCAGGTGCCCCCAAGTCTGGGAGTTTCAAGAGAAACCACTGGACTTGGTTTAGGGCTCTTTGGTGATGTTCAGCTCCCTGGGTGTAGGCATGGAAAAGATAGAAGGGTTTATTCAAGGTCGTGACTATATTGCTTCTGCATGATGGGTGGGGAAAGGGACTGGGTTGTTGAAGACATTTGCAAGACCAGTGATGTGCATAAAGTGAGCTGTGGAAGTTTCACTCTTGACCTGGTCCTGTGGGTGGAAATCTCGGGGTGGTTCTCTTTTGTCTTACACAGCTGCTAGTGGGGCTCTCCTCTCCTTCCCACACCCTGCCCCAGCCACCCATCTTGCCTGAGGCCCCACTTTCTAGAGGTGGGAATGGAGTTTAGAAGTGTTCGGGGCAGCCCGGGTGGCTCAGTGGTTTAGCGCTGCCTCCAGCCCGGGGTGTGATCCTGGAGACCGGGGATTGAGTCCCAGGTTGAGCTCCCTGCATGGGGCCTGCTTCTCCCTCTGCCTGTGTCTCTGCCTCTGTGTGTGTGTCTCAGGAATAGATACATAAAATCTTAAAAAAAAAAAAAAAGTGTTCGGGGCCATGGAAGAGGGAGTCATCTGTATAAAGTAGTGCCGTGGGCTGAGAGCTGACTGAAGGCCAGACAACTGTCTTACAAGATGTATGAAGGCGGCTCCCTCTGACATAGCCTTCCTGAGAGGCTACCAGCAGATGGCTTAGCTCTGGTAATGTGTGACATTCCCTGGCAGAGCAAAGAAGGATCTTCAGGCTTAGGAATGAGAATAGAAGTTGACACAGGGCCATGGTTGGATTCACGTCTGGGTTAGGCCTAGGGCTGGCCCCATGCGTCTTCTTGGTATTAGGCAGTGGTGCAGTCTTGAGGTGGGCTCTTTTTCTGTGTGCTCTCCAGGGGTCTGGGAAGCCCAACAGCCATCCCCCAACTCTTGGGTCTGTTTCTCTCCTCTCACCCCCAAATCTTGTAAACCCTCTAGGTTTGTTGTCCCTCTAGGTTTTCACCAATTCTCTTATTAAGCTGTATGTTGATTAAATGTTACATACTATCTTTTTGCCTGCAAAAAACTTTTTGTTTCTTCTTACAAATCACAGGCTTTGACTTTTTAGTTATTATGTCTAAAAAGGACTGCAAGAGTATATATATATTTTAAAAATTTATTTATTTATTCATGAGAGACACACAGAGAGAGAGGAAAGGACACAGGCAGAGGGAGAAGCAGGCCACAGGAGCCCGATGTGGGACTCGATCCCAGGACTCTGGGATCACGCCCTGAGTCAAAGGCAGATGGTCAACTGCTGAGCCACCCAGGTGCCCTTAATGCAGGATTTAAGTAATTTCTCTGCACCCAAACTGGGATTCGAATTCACAACCCTAAAATCAAGAGTCACACACTCCACCAACTGAGCCAGCTAGACACCCCCAATTAAGTAATATTTGATGTAACTATACTTAACATCCAGCTCCTTTATTAGACAATAAGCTTCAAGATGGCATGGGTCTTCTCTGCTCATTTAAATCCTGTATTTTGGTGTCTAGTACTTCACAGGCAGCCCAACAAGAATGAATTACTTAATTGGAGTCTTAGGCAGTGTCAGCCATTAATTAACACAATTACTTTATCAGCCTGTCATCTTACTGATGCATCAGGTTGATTATAATGTTATCAATTTACACCTTAAATTGCGCAGTGGAGTTGGCTTAGGGTTGAAGATAAAACCCAGTTTCCCTGGCAAAGATAACTGATTACATAGTTTATTGTGGACTAGGCCTTTTCTCTGACCCAGCTGTGTGACCTTGGCCAGATCACTGTACCAGTCAGGTCACCTCTACAAGCCCTCCCTTATCATTCTGCCAGGACATGCCAGGCCCAGTGGATCTGAGTCCTTGTTCTATTACCCTGTCATGGTTGAATCACGCCTAGATCACTCTAAGAAGTCATTTGCAGAGTGAGGACACCTAGGTGGCACGATCATGTCTTATGTAAGGAGATACTGGGGAAGCTTCCTACATGACCCTTCTGCTTCTATTTACGATTTACAAGGGTAGAGAGAGTTTGATCCTGCCATTCCTCTGCTCGGAAGTCTGCAGTATAGCCTATCTCACCCAGAACCAAAGCCAGTGCTTACTTACGGGGGGTCCACCAAGCCCTGAATGATCTGCTCTCCTCTGTCTCTGCCATCCACACACCAACCTTCTCATTGTTCTTCCCACACTCTGGGCAACCTGCCAACCCACCATCCCCCGTCTGGAATGCTCCTGCACACAGGGCCTGGCCTTGCCCCTCACCTCCTTCAGGTTTTTGCTCAAAATGCCATCTTCCCAGGGAGGCCTGCTTGGGTCTCTCTCTGCAACGTTGCAAACTTCATGCCTCTTCTTGGCTGCATTCTGCTCCATAGATCTTATTATTTTTTCCCCCTAAAATAGTATGGATGTAGGAAGGAATATTGTTTGTAAACATGTATGGTATAAAAACCAGGGACACTGTATGTAGGTTCTACTGCGAGTTATATTCTCTTCCCCGAACCAGTGGTTCCTGGTCTAAAAGGCCAAAGCTTGGGGTTTTATGGTGAGTACCTTCTAGGATCATGTGCCTTCAGGAAATCCAACATTAATACTCAGTGCCTGAACAACCTTGCATGGATATTTTCAGCGCCAGGCACTCTGGGTTGGAAATATTAATAGCTGTCACTTCTGCGCGTGCAGAGTGACTCATTCAGTCATTCAGCAAACATCTATTGGACGCCTTCGATGTGCCAGTTCCTACTGACCCAGCTGCCGAAGCCAAGCCGAGCGAGCTGTCACAGGCGTCTCCTCTGCACACCCGCTCCTTGCACACCCGGGGTCCGGGCCTCGGGTGGGGGTGGCGGCGCCCCCTGCACACCGGCTCGCTGCACACGCAGGGTCCACGCCTCGGGTGGGGGTGGTGGCGGCGCCCCCTGCACGCGCGGGGCCCGGGCCCGGGGTGGGGGTAGCGGTTCGGGGCGCAGGGAAGCTCTCCGGTCCCGCCAGCAGGGGGGGCGCTGCCGCCCGCCCGCCGCGGCGGCCCGGCTCCTAGGCTCGCTCCCGAGCGCGCCCCCGCCCTCCGCGTCACGTGACGCTGCCGCGGAACCCGAGCCGCCGGGCCTAAGCCGAGCTAAATTCGTTGCGGGTGGCCGCCGCGGGTGGAACCACAAAGGCTAATCCGAAGGATCGGGGGTGCTCGCGGCGTCGATGCTTCCTCGTGCAAGTCAGGTCGGCTCCTGCTGCCTCCTCCCCACTCGCCGCTGCCGACTCCCCGGGCGTTTGCATGAGCTCTTTGGCGTGGGCAAGCCCCGGTGACCATGTAGGGGGACGAGCGAGGCCGCTCCAGTGCCCGGGACGAGGTCAGCGCTGTGGGCACGCCCCCGCGGCGCCCCGTGCACCCCCCGTGCCGGCCCGCGGGCCGCTCGGCCCTGCTGGGCAGCCGGGCCTCCGCCTGGGGCCTGGCCCCGAGCGCCACGAAATCTCGCGCCGTCTCGCGAGAGGCGAAGTTGAAGGAACATGGCGACGTCGAATCTGTTAAAGGTAAGACCCTCCGGCCAGCCCGGGTCGGACTCCGCGGCCGCCGGCGTTGGCTCTCCGGCGGAGGCTCGGTTCGGGTTCGGCGGCCAAGGGTGGGAGGGCTCGGGGGTTGTCCGCCGCGGGGGAGGTCGGGGAAGTGGCCGCCGGCGGCCAGAACGCGGGTCTGTGGCCTTGGGGCCGGGAGGCTCGGACGGTCCGTCCCGCCGGCCGGCGCGGGGAGGGCAGGGCGGCGGGGGGCCGGGGGCCGGGGGCCGGGGAGGGCGGGCGGGGGCCGGGGCGGGGAGGGCAGGGGCCGGGGGCCGGCGCGCGGAGGGCAGGGGCGGGGCGGGCAGGGGCAGGGGCCGGGGCCCCGGAGCCGGGAGGGCAGGAGCCCGGCGGAGGGCAGGGGCCCCGGCGCAGGGAGGGCAGGGGCCAGGGCCGGGGCCGGGGCTGGGGCCGGGGCCCGGGCCCGAGCCCGAGCCCGGGCCTGGGAGCCGCTGTGGCCCCGGTGCAGGGTGGGCAGAGGCCCGGGAGCCTCTGTGGCCCCGACGCGAGTAGATGCTGGGCGCTCACCCGCTGGGCCGCAGCTCTCCGCGGGCTCCGCTTCTTCTTGCGGCGAGAGTCCCAGGCGAGCGAACCGGAAACCCGAGAAGGTGCTGCCCAGGGGGTCTCGGCCTCGACTGGCTCCCGCCTTCCCAGTGCCTGTGGGCCTCGTCCAGGGCGCACGGAATCCCGGGGCGCGCAGCTCGCGGTGCCTTCCCCCGCGCGCGCGCGCGCGCCCTCCCGCTGTGCTCGCTGTGCTTCCCTCGTGGCTCCCGGGCCTGAGTTCCTATTTCTTCTGTTTTTCCTTGGGAGACGACCCCGCACGCAGCCCGAGGGCAGCACCCCGTCCGGTGACCGCGGGGGAGGCGCTCCCAGCCTTTCGGAGCTCCGCACCGTTACCGGATCAAAGACCAGGGTTAAAGTTAGTTTTGTGTCAGTGGGGTGGCCCCGGAGATGGAGGCCCAGGGGGGCAGACTCCCGACCCTCAGAAAGCCGGGAGGGGCGTAGGAACGCAGGGCACAAGGACAACAGAAAGAATGGAAAATACAGAGAAGTAGGCTGGAACCCCACGTAGGACTCCTTTCCACCGCCGATAATTGCCTAACTGATGGGACTGTTCTATGAAAAGTAGACCGAATCTTACTGACTTAAGAGGCAGTCTGTCTTCTTTCAAAAGGAGGAGGGGCTTAGAACGAAACTCTGTCTGCCGCTTAGAAGCTGTGTGACTTTGGGCAAGGTTCTTGACTTCTCTGTGCCTAGGTTTCCTTAGCAGTAAAATGGCACCATCAATAGCACCTATTTCACGAGCATTGTTAAGATCGATGTTAATGTATGCAAAATGCTTAAAACAGTGACTGGCACTGAATTAGTACACAGTACCGGTAAATAACCAGAATTACTACCGCGGCTGCTGCTCTGAGAAAACGAATTTAGAACAGGATAGCAAAGTTCTAATAGATTCAGAAAGAAAACTTGTTTACTTTCTAAAGACTCCTGTTAGAGCTTCTCAGATGTTTACATAAGCAGTAGCTAACGTTATTCAGTGAAGCGTCTGAAAAGTAATTGGGTTCCTGATTCTTTGTGATATTTTTTTTTTTCTTTCTTTGACTTGAATACTTGGATGTAAAGCAAGATCTTTTTCCCTCAAAAATTCTGTCTCAGGAAGGAGCAAGTCACTGTATTGTACTCCATAGGAAGCCTTACAAAGGATTGTTTGGAGAAGGTGCACATCTGAAGCTGCTTGGGTAAACACTAGTGAGTGCTTACCTCGTGGAGATTATGAATATACATAGCCAACACTCATCTATAGAATGAAAGAAACCACTCAAATGTATAGAAAATGAGCACTTAGGACTTAGGTTAAAAAGTTCACAAGGGGAAAAAAAAAAAGAAAAAGTTCACAAGGATTCAAAAGGTTCTGTAACTCAGACAAATTTTATGAATTAAAGGAAGGTGATAATGCTTTGAAAAAAACCGGTAAATGACTCATTCACTCTAGTGAGCATGAAGACAGATGCCATAGATACACTGGAAAATTTTCAGTGGAATTGTTTTATGAGGTGTTGAAAAGGGAGAGAAAGAATTTCTGAATCTTACTTTACGTAGTATGTGATTTTAAATACGTGTAAGTAACATCCTATAATGGACATTAATCAAAAGACGTTTGATTTTTCTATCAATACCATCAAAAGCTTACATGTTGAAGACGGCCAGTAAAACTTTTTTTCTTTTTTCTTTCAATATTGGGAATAGGGAGGGGGTTGTCTCATTCATACTTAAAGAAGTAGCTAATTAAAAAGTGGAAAGTTTGTCTTGGAGAAATGCAATGAGACCCTACCAGGACAGACCCATAACATAACTCATAGAATCACTTAAATTCAAGTCTGGGGATACCTTGAATAAAGATAGAGCTGACAGGGATGCGGCCAAATTAGCCTCATTTGCTTTTTTTTTTTGATAGGACTCAGACTGGTTTGTATGAGAAATGCCTTAGACATTATGCAGTTAGGTTTCACAAGAGTATATTTGACAGAATTATCATGTCTTGTGGTCGAAATAGAGGAACGTGGGCTAGATGAGAATATAGTTAGAACTGGATTAATTATCATGAACAGCTGTACCTGAAGAAAAAGTGATAAACCATCAACCCCGAAGGGAGGCCTTTAGTGTCCTGCTGAAAAAAAATAAGTTTTCTTCCTACTTGCCAGTAACTTGGGTGGAGTTAAGTGTATTGAGTTTGTGGATGACAGTTTGGAAGGATAGCTAATATGTTATGAAAGATAACAAGATTCAGAACTTTGATAGGAAACTTACAAGTCAGAGAGCAAAGCAATAAAAACCACTTTTTAAATATTGGAATTTGATATAATAATGATTGTATTGTCTATATAAACCAGGTAGATTATGGCTGGATTCTGGAAATCTTTTGATTATATAAAGATTTGTGTTGTATATTTTGTTGTAAATAATGACCAGTTGCTTGATTATTGAGGGGGTTTATATCTCCTAAATTTTTCAATATGACTCCTTTAAGTTTGTTTTTAACATGTAATTCTGTGTCCTTTGTTTTACAGTATCTAGGCCTATGTGCTCTTCATTTCTAGCTGAGTATCCTATTCCAAATACCAGTCGTTTAAATCTTGTTTTGCTAGATTTCAACCCCCATTTACTTCTTAGCTTGTTGCTGTGCGCAGTTCTGTGGATTGAGTGCCCTTCTTCACTCTGTGGTCAGTGCTACAGATTCTTCTGGTTCCCTTCAGTCTCCAGGTGCTTGCTGTGTTCTTCCTCCAGTGCTCTTCAGTCTCTACTCTCCCCAGAACCTGGCAGCAACATCTCTGTTCTTCTGTTTCAGTCTCCTTCTTCTCACTCCTGAGAGGTCAGAAAGTTCACACATCTCCTCATAGAAACCTGACCTGTGTGGCCTTGTTTCCTCTTGCCCTCGGTTCCCCTGGTTGTCTGGAAGGCAGCCCCCACTGCTGCCTGTGGAGTTCTTCACCTTCTGCCCCAATTTACTGTGTCTCTACCCTCCCCGTACCCCCAGATGCTCGTGGTGAAGCAGGCTGCCAATCTCCAGAGCAGTGGCAACTTCCTGATTGCCAAATGAGATTTTTCTCCCATACCATGATGACCATCTCCACCTCCCTTTTGATTTTTTATGAGATTCTCTCCGTCATGTCCTATCTCTCAGATCACTGGTGTTTTCACTGACCTCCCTCCTCTCTTCCCCAGTGTGATTGTTTCTCAGGAGTTAATCTTCAGCCCTATTCTATCTTTGTACTTCTGTTTCTGGGGCAGTCCGAACTCCCATGATTTCACTATTTTTATCTCTTAACTCTAATCTGAGCTCTGGACCAAAACATAGTTCTGACCATATCACTTTCCTACTCGGATACCTTTGATAGTTCAAATTCTTTGATATCCTTCCAGTTGGGTCTTCTCCCTAATATCTCTCCATCTGTCTCCCCAACCCCCTCCTTTCTTCTTCCCCCTCTGTCCGCCTCTCACACACACCTGCCTCTACCTGACTGGGTCCTTGTTGGTTCACTAGTATACCACCATCTCAGTATTGGTCTGTTAAAATCCATTTCATCATTAAGACCATTAGCCCAAATTCCTCCCTTCTTAGTTCTCTCGTTTGAAATTGTTGCCTACTCTGCACAGGCATAGCACTGCATCTCTTTCTTTTGCTTTATGCCTTACATATTAGTTGCATAGTCTTTTTTTTTTAATTTTTATTTATTTATGATATTCATACAGTGAGAGAGAGAGAGGCAGAGACACAGGCAGAGGGAGAAGCAGGCTCCATGCACCCGGAGCCCGATGTGGGATTCAATCCCGGGTCTCCAGGATCGCACCCTAGGCCAAAGGCAGGCGCTAAACCGCTGCGCCACCCAGGGACCCTTAGTTGCATAGTCTATTTACATATCTAACTCCCCTTCAGGGTCAATTGCCCCATTATTGCAGGGACTTTATTTTATTAATCTTTTGATGCCTTAACCATTAGTTGTGGTGATCACTCATGGTAGGTGCTTCATAAGTGAGTGACAATTGCTTAAAAAGAGAAGTCTAGGGGATCCCTGGGTGGCTCAGCGGTTTGGCACCTGCCTTTGGCCCAGGGCGCGATCCTGGAGCCCCAGGATCGAGTCCCACGTCGGGCTCCCGGTATGGAGCCTGCTTCTCCCTCCTCCTGTGTCTCTGCCTGTCTCTCTCTCTATGTCTATCATAAATAAATAAATCTTAAAAAAAAAAAAGAGAGAGAGAAGTCTAGTGTCGTTTCTGTGCACTGTAGATGCTTACTACCTGGTGTTAATTGGTTAAAAGGAGGAATTTCTGGTTCTGTTCCCTTGTAATTAGATCTAGAGAGAGGGAGAGAAAAGAGGATAGAAGTATAAAAACCAGTCCATTAGAGAATCCCAACTTGAAACTGAAATAGGAAGCATGCTGCTGTCTGTTCTCAGTGGAAACTTTATTTTTTGAGAGGG